GCCAGTATAATGTTGGCAAAGCACTTGATGGCTACATACTGCATGAAATGACTATATAGTATTCAAAATCCAAAGCTCACCAGGCTTGTCCTACCTAGTTATGGTTACTGTAGTATGATAGCACTTATGGCAGATTATTTAAATCTAATAGATGGTGATGTCGCCCATTTAAGGTAAACATATTTACAGAAAACAAGTAAATTGAGAAATCAAGCTGGAAAAGAGTGATGCTATACAGTATAATCAATAATTTTCTGATAGTCTGGAATCACTAATACATCGGTGCATTTTAATACATGATATAAGGCTGAATTGGGGTGTTTTTTGTGTCCCTCCTAATCATTTGTCTCGCTCTTATCTGCAGTCTTCAACCCATTTTACCTCCAGTGTGTGGAAGTCCCCATCCTTTCTCACAAGGACTGCGATGGCTCCTACCCCGGCCTGATCACTGACCACATGGTGTGCGCTGGATACCTGGAGGGAGGAAAGGATGCTTGTCAGGTATTCTTAAACAATTACACGGCACATACAATGAGGTTATATTGAATGAGGTGGAGGGAATAAAGTGATGTCTCTCTCCTGCTCAGGGTGACTCTGGTGGTCCTCTGGTGTGTAACGGAGAGCTGCAGGGTGTCGTGTCCTGGGGCCAGGGCTGCGCTCAACCCAACTACCCGGGTGTTTACACCAAAGTCTGCTCTCTGATGCCCTGGATCAACGATATTCTCTCCACATACTCCTAGGCTGTGATCTCCCATCACAGAACTACAGGAGAGGGGAAATCAGAGGGAGATTGAAATTGAAGGAGACAGGAGGCGACGGTGGGAAGTGTCGAAGAGAGAGGCAGCGGAAGAGAGGCTGAGAATGAGACACAAGGAGATGCCGAGGGAGAAAGAAAACAACATGTGAGATGTGAGATGTCAAGGCTCAATCAATAAAAAATTGAACATTTTGTGATGCAATAGTGTGTTTATTATTGTCTATCTGCTCCCAGTGTAGATATACTGTTTTATGAGTACTGGATTTCAATTCAGGGGTGACATTTCCAAACAAAAAACAAATATAAACCACAGTCAAACAAGAACAGCTAATGTCAATAAACAGAAACATTTCACAACATTGCATTAGCTTGAGGGCAAATGAAGTGGCCACCCTTGGTTTTGAAAAGATAAGCTAACACAAGTCTATTAAATGTTCATGATCTCAATTTGTTTTAAACAACCTAACGAGTTTGTAGTTTAAAAACTAATTTACAGTCTTCAATACAGCAAGATGTTCCTTTAGTAATCTATGGTCCCATTTACAGTAAAATAATCAATAAAGGACGTGCATGGCTTCCTTTCCATGTTTATTCCTTGGACCTTAATCCCTTTTACAGTGTTTTATTTAGTTAATTAAGGTGTATTGTAAAATGTCATGTTTCAGTGTTGGGTTGTACTTAGCTTTATTCTCTCGTTTCATATCTTGTTCCAAAAAAACAATATGTCAATAGTCCAAATGTCAAACTCAAGGCTTTGAAATCTTATTCTGCAATCCACTGACATCAAAGTGATGTCAAATTCTTATCGAAAGTGTATTGTGCTTTTCCTTAAACACACATCACCAAACAATCTCTCAATAAGATTTCCATCAAAATAAGACACACAAACTGTAGCTTTTACCAGTTAACCTCTGCATAGCATTGGTGTTTAGCATTTCAAACCTGCATGGTTGATAAGGTTTCGTCAGTCTTTTTTTTTTGCAGCAGCAGCAGCACATGAATCTCGCCCTCATTTTGATTTCCTGTCCCCTGAGTGCAGAACGCTTTATACACCTGGAAAGAAAGGGTGCAGATGATGCAACACCCCATTTATCAATGTCAGTGGTATACTGTAGGACAATAATCTTAACAGGGCTTAGTATCCCATTGAATCTTTTCAATAAGATCCATACCGAACTGAGAACTGGTTCTTTGAGTCTATTCTTAAGCGAACATCTGATTACACTGAAACTAAAAGAACAGTTTGTTTCTTCAGCTGCTCTCCCTTTAAATCTATATCAAGTTTTGTGGTTGTGTGGATTTTCTTGGTCATATGGCTGAAGATAACTCACAAACTGTCCTTTATTGCTTTTCAGAAATGTCATTTCCACTTTTTATAACAAAGTCTAGCATATGTTATCAAGATCATTATCAATTTTCAGGAAAATCCTTGTTTGCTTTTGGACAGGAACAATGTGTGCTTGTATCTGTGAAATCTTAAATGGGACCTATTATGATTTGGGTTTTTTTTCTTTTTCCGTAGTGTGTTAGCGACTGGTCATTAGGGGCACAGCCCCACCTAGTGTCAGCAGAAAGTAATTCAAATAATTTAAAAAAAAATGCAAATAAATGCAAAAAGAAAATACATCTTAAAATATATTTTAAGATCATGTTTAATCATCTGATTTGTCGGTACATTGCTGTTTTAGTCTGTATTCTTCTAATTAGTGTCTGTGCCTATTGAGCCGTTTTGGGTGACGTGGGTCAAGCCCCGATCTAGCCCCTCTCTCTCACTGTCAAAGTGAATGGTTGCTGTAAAAACTACACTGCACATGCTCAGAGTATTTTTCTATTCAATGTGTGCGGCGAAAAAATAATCACCATAGGGCAGTGACCATCAACTGGCGGCCCGTGGGCCACATCCGGCCCGCCAGACATTCTCATCCGGCCCGCACGACGGGGGTGACCCACCACTTTTCCAAAAGTTCCTCCAGAGGGGTCCGTGTACTTTTTGTCCGTTTGATGTTTCGTTTCAGTACTGGCCTCTCTCATCTTTTTAAGTGGGAAAACTTGCACAATTGATGGCTGACTAAATACTTTTTTGCCCCACTGTATGTGTTGAATCAGCATATTTTCCTCTTTAGGTGACCTCAAGAGACTTTAAGATGATAGTTTGGATTGTTTGAAGTGGGGCTGTATGAGGTTCTTATCCAGTCAGTGTATAACCTCCAGCAGACAGCGGCCGGTACGACCCCAGTTAGTAGGAGAGACAGGAGTACCAGCACAGCAGCAAAACCTATTTCATCCATCCAAAAATGCCCCACCTGGAAAAAATCGCTATATTTAGCGTTAAATAACGTAGGCCTACACTTAAACTGATATAGCTTTTTTGGATGGATAAAATAAATGTTGCTTCTGCCCACGTCATCAGCAGTACATGGCTCTGTACAGCTGAGTACTGGGAACCCACTGGGAGTCATGTGACTGGAGCGGGAGAGTAACACACATCACACCTGCAGCCATGATGCTCCAGCTCAACGGGGATCGAGTCTTTCAGCCCACCTTTGATTTAATAACATTGTGCTATTTTAAGGAGTAAATAAGAAGTCATATCTTTGTTCCTTCAGTAAATGTTTTCTATACTTACAACTTCTTATAAAGACTGATATTAATTGATTTACTTGTATACTATGAACAAAGAAAAATAACTCTTTAACAACAGAACAGGAACAAAACACAACTGTGACCTCTGTGCAGCACACACAGACCAGTCAATCAATTTCTGGGGAGTAGCTACCTTGTGCTAGTTATATTAAAGTTTATGTTTTACTATTGGCTATGTGTTACGTCCCCACTAAGGTCTAGGGGACCTGGAGACAATAACATACAACCAATAAAAATGAGGGAGTCAGTGTAACAGTTGACAAAAGGTTTATTTTTTGTAAACCCAGAATCGAACAGACATATACTTGAAACACTCGGTTGGTGGAGGAGGAGGAGGAGGAGGAGGAGTCAAAGGATTGTGCCAAACAAAAGAAAAAAGCATAACAAAACCAGGCCTATCTCTACATCCATCCTTTGAAACCAAAACTCAAACAAAAAAACCCTCACTAACTAAACTACAAAGAGTTTGACAAAACAATATACAGGGGTGGCAACAATCCGCTAACCTAGTGTGTCTGAACATTAGTTAGCTACGTGGTGAGAAATGTACAGGGTACCCCAGACTTACCTAACTCCTCCACCTCTCAACACACACACTTTCACAAAGGTCAGACAATTCAAAGATCATGAGTTGCTAAACACTGCAGGCTCCTTCATCAGCAACAGGCCCAGAGTGAGAGTGAGAAGACTTCCTGGGTGCCTCCGTTATGGTCGGCCCTGGCTGCTGATAGGCCAGCTGAGGGTGAGAGGATCCAATCAGCCATCAGATTCAGGTGCACAGGCAGATTCCGATCAGCTGCTG